CAACGTTCGTGTGAGTGAATGTTGTTAAAATGGCATATTGACAACGTTTTTCAAATGAATGTTGCAAAAAGTAACATTTCGCAACGTTCGCTGACCGTTGCGAAAAGTGTCACTTTTCGCAACGTTCAAAACACGTGGGTCGATGAACGTTGCGAAAGGTGTCCTTTAGCAACATTCATTTGAAACCAAAGATCTCATATTTTGCAGCAGAATTAAACATATTGGTATCAAGTATCACTTCATCATAGAAACTAAAGTAACTTAAGATAGAACTCTAACAATGGAAGACTAGAGAACAATTAGCAAACTATATATAAAAGTGCTACCACGATCAAAGTTCAAAGCATTATCAGTTATGAATAGAGTTACCGAAATGAGCACAAAGGAGGAATTATAAATTAATATGGTGCTCATTTCTAGAAATTTTCTAGAAATTAACATTTGTTGGAAATGGTTTATTAACTAGTGAATTAGGTCAACCTTTGAGCTCCAATTTGTGTGGGACCCGTACTTCGATTTTAACGAGACCAAGTATTCACGTTCTACTCCGCCAAAGGATTAACGTGATATATTTATTAATTGAAAATCATTTAGAATTGAATGAAATATTTGATATCAAAGTAATCCACTTGAAACTATAAACTAGTGAAGATTTTGATTTATTAAAAAATTGCCAAACACTTATCTCACGTAGGAAAGTTAGGAAACGTTGATATGGTTTATATAGTGGAAGTTTGAGAATTGAGTTTGAGCCACAAGGGCTACCAATAATTTTTAGAAGGGGGATACCAATATCGTCTTGGGTTCGGTCCTAAGCCCACAGGGGCCTGCCGTCGTCATCCTTCCGGCTCGACACGAGCATGTGCCAGAGTCGGTTGGGTTCGTATTCGGGTGCAAGTGAGTCCTTATGCTATATTAACTTTTTGAACAAAATTTATTTATATTTTTTAGGTCAAATTATAATTAATCATATTCTTGGTTACTTAACCCGTGTTTTTTTAGCATTAATTCTTCAGATTTAAAAAAATTCCAACCGTTGCAATTCAAAACCAACCACCATTTTTGACCATTTATGTCACAGTTGGGACCCACATTTGAAACTGACGGTGCTTTTTTTTTTCCTACTTTCCAGCTGTTTAATGCTAAAAAAGAAGGTGTTAATGAAATTAATTTTGATTGACTTATTTCCGGATAATTTTTTGGTCTGGATTGTCTGTTAATCGACATAACAGTCATCTGTTAACCGATGTAACAGACGTTGTGTTTCATACTGAACATTGCGTCTGTTCGAATTTGGAGGCTGTCTGAACAATGGCGAATTTTCTGAAAAAGCTTGAAAGATGTTCGAATGGCCACGAACGAGTTTATAAATAACATGCCGCACTGCCAGAATAATTACACAATTTTCATTGTAAACTTTCTCTACTTTGAATCTCATTCTCCCTTTCGTTCTAATATTGTTCTCAAAGTGAAAACGCTTCATTGAGTTCGTTGGAACTCCTGCAGATTGTTGTACTACTTCCATAGGAGATGAAATTCGTTTGATTCTTAAAAAACGATTGTTGAACAACTTTAGCACCTTCGAAGGCAGCAAATTCGTTTTAAGAAAATATCGTGGAGCTGGTGGGTTCAAATTAATTTTCTAATCATGTTGATCATATTGTTATGCTATACAAATTACGTTAAATTAATGTTGTCGGTGTTCGTATATTCAGATTGTTTGAAGGAGGAATTTATACTCCAAAAACAAC